TTTAAACAACAAGACATCAAGAGTTCGGCTTAGCAACTACTGGAGTCAATACTTAAATAATTGTTACTGACTGATTTCTATGTTAATGCTGAAAACTGTTAGCTGCTGGAGTCAAGAAAAACACATATGCACGAGAAAAAGACGGGAAGGATTGCCCCAATTCAGTATTTTTGATCAAACCAGGGTCTTAGTGCGGTATTCCACAATTCTAGATTACCCAGCTCAATGGTAATTTTCATTGCATGTTTTCAGGAAGACTATCTTATAGCAAATACCATCTATCGTGTACAACCAAGGAGAGAGGTGACAAAGAATGTTGACCAGGAGATTACAAGCTCTCTTGAACGACCCTCTGAGGCGATGATTTAATAGTCCAAAAATGTTCTGTAGGTGAAGACGTGACTAAACACATCACACTTCTGTGAAAACAAAAAAAGTACTTAATAAAGATATGTTCTTGTTAAAGTAACAAAAGGATGTATAAACTTTTTTTTATCATTTAATGAAATTGTTAAAATAAATGTTATTATATACATTATTAGTTACCATTCTTTTCAATAGAGGACAGCACGATATCTTACAGTTTGGTATAATCATGCAAAATACTAAATAAAATTGGGTAACGTCAGAGGTCATTTTCAACAGCCACGTATGGAAAACTTTGTCTTTTTATCTTTTAAACTCTCTTCAATACAAAAATAACAAACACAGTAATATAAGAACAAAGTTTTAAAAAGCAGAAAAGCTATCTGCACATTTACGTTCATTAGGACTGTCTTCTTCTTGGAGAAGGGCTAAAGTTGTTAGTAGTTAATTTTGTTTGTGTATGAAATTTCGCGCAAAGCTACTCGCGGGCAATCTGCGCTTGCCGTCCCTAATTTGGAAGTGATAGACGAGAGAGAAGGCATCTAGTCAACTCTTGAGCTATTATTTTACCAAAGCATTAATGGTATTGATAGTCACATTATAACGCCCCCACGGCTGAAGGGTGACGGGATTCGAACCTGCGACCTGTAGATTGCGAGTCGAGTATTATATTCATCAGGCCATGCCAGGCAACAAATTGATTATTGAATATATTATTTTGACGTGATTAAGAAATAAACTCGCAGTGTAATATCGATAGCTTGCGGATCACATTTTTCATTCTGAGGCATTTTGTTTGTTTAACAATGTGTTAAATGGCTAAATCAGAGACCCCTATAGTTTAGGCATAATCATCCTTAATTTTGAAATGCGGACTAGAGGGAAGGCAACCAGATAGCAGCACTTGCCACTCAAAGTGGATACTGTTAACGAAACCTTAGGATCGACTGCCACTCTTATAAGGCACTTACAGCTGAAAGTGCGAAGCATGTTTGGTGATACCTTATCTCGAACCCGAGACCTTCAGGTCCCCAGTCTGATATGCTAACCAATAATCCACGCTCAAGTCTTATTTTAAGTAATCCATTTTGATACTCTATCTGTTACCAAAAATGAGTGCAAGAAGTTGTTTGTGACAAAAATTTCTGTTCACAAACCTGAATTTATTAAACCCAATCTAAAAGAACGTTAGAAATAAATTGTCAAAACATTCCTGAAATTTTATTTCAAATATACTCTGATTTCTTCAATGCTCTGATATAAAACAGCAAGCATGTCTTTATAGTTGAAAGAAAAAACAGATGACAAAAAATGATTGAAGTGATATTAATTTAAGTCTTTTTTTCGTCAGTTTGTCTCCGTTTGACAGTGAATAAATTCTACACAAGGTTATTGATCATTCTGTTTTGGGTAATTGTTGCAAAGAAAAAGCACAAGCGTCTAGATTATGAAAAAATTGATATTTATAAATATCAACTTCAGCTAGTTCTAATTGCACAGAAAAAACTAATATATATATATATATATATACATTAATTTTTATCTACAAAGCTTCCCAAGATGAGCAAATCAATGTCTCACACCAAGAGGTTTTACCGTATTTTTCGGTGTATAAGACGCACTTTTTTACCCCAAAATATGATGTCAAAATCTGCTTGCGTCCTATACACCGAAGGTATGAATAATATATATGTATATATACGATATACACAAGCCATGTGTAAATATGTTTAAATAGGCATGCATAGTTTAGTTCAATTGAATGTGTTATTTATAACAATAGTAGTTTTTTTTTCTTTTAAAAACATAACTATTTATAATGCTCCCCAAATAATAATAAAATAAATTACAGTGAAAGCAATGAAGATTTTGTAGGTTTTGAACCAAACTAAATAACAGTAAACCTTTTTTTGATTTGCGGTATTTTCTTATTTTGATGTTTTGATCTCTTTTGTGTTTAGAACAATATATACTAATTTTTAAAGTATCAAATTGAATCTTTGTTCAATAAAAATCTTTCAAATGCGACTGTACCTTTTTTTTCCCAAAACTTTGTTTTCAAAATAAGGGTGCGTCTTATATTCCAAAAAATACGGTAAGTTATAATGTTTTGATTAGTAAATACTATTGCACGTATGAACAAGATAGAAATACTTTCAATATCCATCATTAACGTAATACTGTAGTGCAGCACTATACATTTGTTAGTTCCCCTTTAGTTAGTATGGACTTTTTTTTAAATTCTGTATTTTCTTCAAGTATACCCCCCCCCCCCCAGCGGCACATCGGTATGTCTGCGAACTTACAACGCTAGAAACCGGGTTTCGTTACCCGTGATGGGCAGAGCATAGATAGCCCATTGTGTAGCTTTGTGCCTAACTTCAAACAAACAAACAATCTTCAAGTATAATATCACCCCTCTGGAGCATCAGTGGTAAGCCTGAAGGCTTATAATGCTAAAAATTAGATTTAATGCTCGTGGTTGGCACAACACAGATAACCTATTTTGTAATAATATAATAAACAAACAATTCAGTTAAGATTTAGATAATTTCTCATGTAAGCCACTCAACTCCCCCTTTCTAATCCATTAATTGGCAATTAGCTGCATTTTCTTACAGGGAAGATAACTTGTAACACTGTGAGATGGATGGTTGTCTTTTTTTGTCAGTGAAGTATATGCTGGTAGTGCATGAAAATAGTGTGTGTGTGTGTGTAAAATGGAGTCATGTGCAAACCCGGCTTTGTGTGGCGTTAGTGTATCTCTGTTAGCCCCAGTAAACAGACTTTTGTGGCTGATTTTACTTTGAGTTGCTTCAGCAATTTCAACTTTAATTTTTGTAGCTTATTCCTTTTAGTAAACTTGTTTTTTCTTAGCTTTGGATTATTGCAGACTCTGATATTTGTGGATGATGTAGTTTATTTTGCATAACGTATAACATATGGATTCATCTGATTTAAGCTTAACTTTGGGATTTATTAAAGATTTTACTTTTCACCTCATATTTAATTTAGCTTGCAATGGGAAGCAAACTAAACTGGTAAGAAAAACTATCAAAGACTCCTTTACTTTTCTCTGGCCATATCAACACATCTGCAATAAACACTTGCCCATGTGTTTGTTTTGACGTGTGTATAACAAAGATTTGTAAGTTGACATCACAATAACCACGTATTTTAATTCTTTACTAATTTAAATTTGTAACAAAATTCAAAGCATTGTTATGTTTCATGAATATAAGCATTCATAAAGAATAACCATAAGTCAATAACAGAAAGGCAAACCTTTGATAAAGCAATGAAACATGTGGAAATGAGAATAGGAGATTCTTTTTGTAGCAGGGAATTGTAATTTTCAATATCTTCTGGAAGTTAGAATTATTTTACTTTAATTGTGAGGTTAATAAATTTACATAGATTGAAACAAGTTATATTTACCAACAATGTGCTTTCACTTTTTTTCAGTGTTTTGAGAAAGGAGCTAAAACAAAGTCATCAGATTCTGCAGATTGGTTCAATTTTTACTGTAATTATTATATTAACAGCTCGGTTTAAAAACAATCATGTTGTGTAAAATGTTGCATGTCCTAATTACTTCAAGTATTTCAACTGTCACAAGTGAGTGAGAATTGAAATGAAATTTAACAGTGTGACAAGAGTTTTACTTGAACAGCCATGGTAGCTAAGATAAATAATTGCTTTATCATAAACAAATCCCATCACATTTTAATACATGCAGCAACCATGATAAATTAAAATGGTTTTAACTTTCATGCAGTATTGAAAATCATTAGCCCCTGCTTCAAAGAAATCCCCAGTTCTGATTCCCCATGGGAATACTTCTATGGTTTATATAGTTGCATTTACTTATTTCACACAGGAAATATCCTCAGCCACAGTTTTTCTTCAAACCTATAAACATAAATTTACTACTTCAAACGAAACTTTAGTTTTCAATTGTTGAAAATTCATATTTCCATCATTGTTTTGTCTTGAAAGAAGTTATATTGCATTTGAATAAACTTTATAATCAACTCAGTGCTTGGGCTTCCATGATGAAATTATATTAGAGGCAAAATAATTAACTCTATGGTTCAATATTTAAAATATTGATTTTACAGAAGCATGCAAGATTGAATTGTGAGAAAAGTATGGTTCTGCCTACAAAGTATCTTTTATACCACCAAGATTAAGTGTCATTTAATAGATGAGCTGAACAGTAAGTCATTTTATGATAAAAAAAAAATAAGGGTATTTTTCTTTATAGTAAAAAAATGTAACTAGAAGCTCCCTACTATGTTAATGCTTTTATTAGTTTATAAAGTATAGATATAAAAAAGTTCTCAAAAACAAAATATTTTTTTTTCTTCTCTGATTATCTATTAAAAGTGACAGTTTTTTCCATTCAGTTTACTCCCACATGTCAAACAAGATGAATTAATCTAGGAATGTTTTTTAAAGTTTTGTCAACTATTTCTGTATATGAATTAGACTTAAAAACGAAAACATCTGACTATCAATTAAATGCAACAGTATACTATCAGATAATGTATAAGTTAAATAACTGGAATTCAATAAAAACAATATATGTACAACACACAAACAGCTGGAAGAAAAGTAAAATTTGAGGGAAATTTAATGTTCTTGTAAAGTGTATACAGAAAAGGTATGGGTATATATTAAATACCAACTAAAATACCATACTGGTCATAAGGCTTAGTCCATAAGAAAAAAAAAAACTGTTAATTGTTCTACCAAATCCTGCAAGAATAGGAACCACTTTTGACAACTTAATTAACAATGTCTATCTTGATGTCCTCTTCCGTGTTATGTCCACGTACAGTTTTGTAGACAATAAAACAAGTTATTCATTTGGTAAATATTTTCACAACGTAAATATAAATCAATTAATAGGCATAATTAATTGTTGACTGAGTGAGCTTGATCCATAGAAACATGTTTCCATATTGACACATTTATCTTTATACCTGTTCTAAATTGCCAATACTTTTGTTTTAATTGAGTTAACTCCAATAAATTACCAGTGTAGTTAGCACTTTATATTAAAAGGTTTTAAAATGACTACATTTAAGCACAAATAGATAAGATAAGCACAGAAAGGGACACAAGTTAACACTTTACATAATGAAAAGAAGGCTCAATGTATATTGATTAAAAATTAGTGTTTCAAAGAGTGCATTAGAGCATTTTGTTGCAACTAGGAGTTTAATAACATTCCAGATGGAAATCCAGATCAGAAGACAATGTCATTCAAAAGGTTTAAAAATCAGATTAATTCAAAACATCCATAGAGTTAAATGAAAAAATACACAATATGTAAGGGGGTTAATGTCAGCAACAGAAATGCTTGTAAGCAATTGATATACAAGAGAAAGTTACACATAAAATGGCTAATATTTTACACATGGAGATGTTGAACTGTTTGATGATTTGAAAATATCACAAAAATTAAAATAACAAACAACATCCTATAGATTTTAAAAACTAAGAATGAGATTTTTTTGGAATCTGAAAGAGTTTCAGAGGTGTAATGATGACAAGTTTCAGCAAGTGTGTGTAAACAAACAGTGAAATATGGTGGTGACTATGTGATAGTAGGGACTGTCCTTTTTTTTCTGCAGGAAAGGAAGATACTGTCAGAATTGTTGGCATTATAAACAAATGACCATTTATCACAACATCTCTGTTTGTGATACAATACCCAACTGAAGATGTTTAAGTGGCACTGGTTTCAAGTATCAGTGAGCTAATGATCCAAAACATACTGACCTACTGAATAAGAGGCATTTGGGTTAGAAGCAATTGGTGATATAAAAGTTATAAAATGACCACCCCAAACTGTATACAATACAAGAAGTAGCTGATTTATAAGAAATCTCATTTAACATTTATAATTTGCCCATCACAAACTTTCTTGCCATAAAAATACGCAGATAAAAATAAAAACTTTGGTAATTGTGGGGTAAGTTTATGGAAATTAGTAATAAGATGCATGTGTAACACCAACTCTGTGTTTTATACAAAATTTATTGTACCTATACAAAAATTCACATATAATGGTTAAAATTTCTGTTTTCAAAAACAAGAAGATAATGTGGCTTTTAAATGAGTAACATAAACATTTTTGGACAGAATTTTCTCAGAATTGAAGTGTTTTGTCCTATTAAATTTTCTTAGCTTGTCTCAACAGAAAGTAGAACAGTTAAGACAACCTGCAGATGAACTTTACATACTATTCAAAACCTTATTTTTAAACACAATACACACAGGAAGTGTGTAATCATACTAACAATGTGAAACATGAAAAAATATATTATCTGATGTTACAATGATAAATATCCTTCTCTGCAAACTACTAACAAAGTAAATATGAGATCAAACTATATAGTTATTGAATAATCCTAGTAGTTGATCAATTGTGTATACAAAGTTGTGATATTTTTATATTTTGCATGCACTGTTTATAAAAAAAGACTTCACACATGAAAAAAGAGAAAGGATGAAATACCTTACCAAACAATGAACTGTTGTTTTTTACATGAGCATTCTCCTTACTTGCTTTTAATTATCCATATAGCAACCATGGAATAATACATTAACCATACCATAAGCACAGTAAAAAAAATACATAGCATGTTACATTTTTTAAATCAAAGAATTAGATATATATATATATTAATGGTGTGAGCTGGTTTTTTAAATATTGATTGATAATTATCCCATTCAAGAAGTATATCTATACTTTTACAGCTAATTATAAAGTGATAAGTATAAGGAATGATAATACAATTACTTAAGAAAGTTACTTAATTAGAATTATTAATTTTCTACTAAATGATATTGTCAGACGTTAATAATAATGCCCATTATAACGTTCAAATATTTTCCAAAGACAAAAAGTACTCTCCAAAATACAAATATCAGTACTGCGTATTTTGCAATAGGACAAATAAGTTTTATAACTACTTGATATACATTCTCACATACTTTAAATAGTCAGTTTTCAAAAAATACATGTTTCGCTTCTAAATTTTAATTTTTCCACAATAAACAAATGAGGAAAAGCTATTTAAATACTTGAAATTGTAACATTAATAAATACATGATTTCATTTCAAAATTATAGAATGAAGTACAATTTAAGCAGAGGAAAAAATACCTATATAGACTATATTGTTTAGAAGTTAATCAACACATGATTGTGGTAGCTACTGAAATTTTATTTGTAAAAAGCTTTACTCTTTACACAGCTATTTTTTATAGGAGTTTACTTGTAAATTTTATGAAACTTATCAGGAAGCTGCCCATTTGCTGAAATATCTATAATTCAAAACACTAAAGATGTTTAATTCAATTAAATTGATTTTTTTAGTTTTTAGTCAAATTTATTAAAATTTATTGTTAAAAGCTGTAGTTACAATATTATACACTCTAAAATAAATTCCAACTGCACATTACAAGTAGTCAGGTATATACAGATACTCTTCCAGCAATCTTTTGTACCACTATCTAATTTAATCTTCCTGTTGATGACTGCCCCCTTCACTATATCATCAGATATTTGGCAAGTGGTAAAACCTGTGACTATTTGAATAGCTGTTTCCTCCTTTAATTTCTGGAGTGTTGGCTCCAGGAAGCTGTGGTAACAGCGTTTGGTGCTGGGAATTCTGCAAAAGAAACAAGTTAAACTTTTAAAAGTAATCCTATTATATTTAATTAGTACTTAAAAATGTTGGTATTCTGTACTTTTATGGCTATAGAAATTTGTATTTAATTTCTAGCTTATTCTTGTCAAGGATTAACAATACAATAATTTACAAAAATCCAGTTCTCACTTCTTTTCACATGTATGCCCACTTGAACCTTCAAATGAATTCTACCCAAACTTGTAAAAATCTCCTAATACCCATTTAAGCAAAAATAATCTGATTGGTTACTAAAATATGATGAACCCACCAAGGGAATTCATATAAGTTAACTTAATTTCATTAAAATTATATATATGGATTCCTTATGGAACATAAACAATGTAAGTAATTAAAAGGTAAGTACAAAAAATATAGAATTTAAACACTTATTTCTCATCTCTTCAAATTAGAGAAGATATGTCAGTCTAAGTATATATAAAGCACCAGTACTTTGGACTTTTCTCTCTTCAGTCTTATATGACTGCCTTCTGTCTCGAAGTCTGAGATTTTAACTTGACTCAAGTAAGGATGTTTTAGCAGTTCTTCACATGTATACCTTTTCTGGGGGTCTTTGTCAAGACATTTCTACATAAAGACAAATGTGGAACTTCAGGTAATGATTACCAACACCTAACATGCATAAAACACTGGTATCTGCAATCCATGCTTTTTTTTTTTTTGCAGCTCTAATAAAACATTATATCACAAAGAGCTAACATTGACACTTACATAAGTAGAAAACTATATATCATGGCCAGCTGAGAACTGCAGCTTTGAACAATATAAGTTCTCATCAGCCCACTCAGATAAATATTAAAAACTTGTCATCCAGTAGAGATTGATATGGCTTTAGATGTGGAAGACAGTTTGGTGGTGTAGTAGTTGTTACCTATTGTGAGTTTTACATGTTTTCATACAACATTGAATATCTTTTTCCTAAGAGTTAAAAGTAATGTAAAATGAGCAGGTTAATGAACATCATATGGAAAATTAATTCTTAAAATAAAATTTAGAATTCATTAACACACTAAAGAAAGGGGCATACTTTAGGAGGTCATTTAACCATAACGTTTGTACAATAGTTATTGTGTAAAGAGCAACATTTAATGTTTATAAAGAGTATACACATATATATAGGAAAGCTAGAAGTAACTGTTTTGAGGATAGGGACTACATTTCTTTCCTGTTTGGTTTCTTCTATGTTATGTTTTATTCAGAAGAAATAAGAGTTGCTGCTGTCAAACAAGGAGTATGTGACAAATTCTCCATCATGAGATGCAGTTTACTAAGAGTTGCTGCTGTCAAACAAGGAGTATGTGACAAATTCTTCATCATGAGATGCAGTTTAATAAGATTTACATTATCTTTTTTTTTATGTATTTATGCATAATTGCTCATCATAAGTCTAACATGTGGTTGGTCAACATTACAACTATACTTCCACAGTAACAGTATACTAGGCTTATAGAATTTTAAATGTTTTTTAATTTATTGAAACAACAAATAGCTAGGTTGTAAATGGCAAGAAGTCAAGTAGTTTGTGGCCAATGCCAAAAGAATCCTTTGAGGTATAATGGCAATGGCTTATGCGTAGAGAAAAAGTAATTCTAAATTTAATTCTCTAAGGAAACATGAAATACGTATAAAAGACTATCATGCTGGTTACTAACAGGACTTAAGATAAGTCAGAAAAACACCTTTCATGAATCTTTCTTAAAGAAAACATGAAATAAGTATAAAAGACTATCATGCTGGTTACTACACAGGATGGACTTAAGATAAGTCAAAAAACAATTTTAGAAAAACACCTCTCATGAATATTTCTTGTGGGTAACATAACAGTGTGAACAAAATATGAAAGTGAGAATGTGTGGATAGTTGCAAAAAAAATCAACACTTTAAAATTACTTATGTGTAATTTTGTCTTAAGGATACCTATTAAGATCACTGATCAGAGAAATTAGTACGACAAAGCATAATATCATTTAATAGTCAGTGACCTCACACTTAGTCACTATAGTTTAATTAATAAACTATGAACATGCTTCAGGCTAAGTGATTCATAGCAAAGTCAAGTTTAAAGAATTTACAGATTCCTCAAAGCAAGGAGAAACTGTCTTGACAGTTTTAGTTGTGTGTTTCTCCAAAATTTAATACATGATTTTAATGAGCAGCAACATATGACCATGACACAGTTCTTGATATTGATTTCAAGAATGAAAGGTTTCCTTAGTTTGAAGGATTAAAGACCATGACATAGGATAAGAAAAAGACAGAAATGTCAAAAATGCATCTTGTTGGATCAAGCTGGATGAAATGATATAGACTGGAAACCAATAAGAAACATCTACGAATAATGGCCAAAGCTTTTAATTTTATATAACTGGATCAAGGATTGCTAAAGGAATCTTATTTGAGCTTTTGGTAAGTTCAGTCTCTACCTTTCATTCAGTTCAGTTAGTTCTTGATCAGTTCTTAACTCGTGTTTTCTCTCTGGTGAGGAGGTCTGAAGTCTTTAAGCTACAGCTTCTACATTAGAATTCTAGAATTTATTGTCCTTTCATATTTCTTTGCTAGGCTAGTGAGGAGTTTGGTTGTAGTGTTAAGTCTGAATAAGTTAATTTCAAAAACAACACAACACAATGTATGTGCTTAGTTCAATGTCATATTTTTTACGTTGTTAAGCAATAACCTTTTATGATTTCAATTAGCAGTTGCTGTCAGCCAAAAGTAATTGATCTCCCATGCTTCCAAGTGGAAGAAAGAAAACAAATGATTAACAAGTAAAATCTTAAACATATTTTAATCTCTTCATGATCAGGCATTATATGTACTTAGGAACCAAAGAAAATTAGAAAATTTGACAAAATAACTAAAATGCTACATTTGCTTGGTTTATTGTGTATTTTATTGAAGGTTGACTTGATTGTACAAACCATACACCACTGAATTCATTCTGAAAAACTGTTATCAATATCTGCCCATATGGTCCCTAGGAATATAGATAGTGGCATAACAAGTACACCACTATGGAAGCAAGAGGTTAAAATAAACAATATCTATTTCAAATGGTTCTCAGGTAAAAATGTGAGATAAAAAATCTAATTAAATAAAAAGAAACTGGTATGCCATTGTTTAACTGCTAAAACAGTGCTTACAATTCTGTAATAAACTGAATTAGTCTTTATAGGAGAATAGTTTGGGGCTCATGTGCCATGCTTCATATGTGTGTTTTAACAGACATTTCATGATCACTTCTAGAATTGTTGTGAAAATGAGGTCTCATAAAGCTAAAGGTTAACTTTAGATTTCTGTAGAGGATATATATATATATATATATATATATATATATATATATATATA